CTGAGTGTTGTGATCCGTTGCCGGACACGAAAAAAGACAAAAAGGAAAAAAAAAAAAAAAAAATGACATTATATATTCGATTTATGCTATGAGTTATGCTGCTTTGAAAGTAAATTTCATACATACTAAAAAAGGGCCAATAATAAAAAAAATCTGTATGCCCATTTCTATATATGATGCTGGTTAATTTCCTCCTTCCACCTTTGGTCAGATGGTCACTTTAAGATGATGTGATACAATTTTTTTTGTGTACATGTTGGGGAGTATCAACAACTATAGAGGGCTTGCAGCTGTAGATATATTTTCTCTGTACAAAAAGGTTTGAAACTAAATTTAATTATCATTTAAAATAAAATTTATTTTTATTAAATGGGTGACAAATTAGTTATATATAGTTTAATATTTCTCATTTTTCTATTTCCTTTTTGAACATCCTAAATATTTTTAAATTAACATGTGCTACTAACTGGCAAGTTTTAGGTCTCATTTTTTTAAAACAGTAAATAAATTATATGGATCCTTATAATTACCATCCATATGAGATAAACATCTCAAACATACTATGGAGAGAAATATCCCACAAAATTCAGAACACTAAATAATGTTACTATTTGAAGATGGATTTTTTTCTTAATGTCCCTATTCTTCAAACTTGCTTGTAGATTTTTCCTATCCTTTAAGGCTCCAGTGTCAAAAAGATTAACACTTTTGAAGCAAACTAAAATTAACAGAAAAATTTAAAACAATTCCACACAGTAAAAACAATTGCTGAAGTGTCTTAAACACTTCATCACAAAAGACTATTTAGAATTTATCATAAATCTATATTCTTACAACATAGTGGGCCAAAGAACCAAAAGTATAAGATCATATGCCAAAATAAAAATAGTATGTCAAAGGAGTGTAATCAGCGTTTTCAGGAGGCTCCCCAGTTTACAGAAATAAGTACTATATTCTCAGGCCTCAAACTTTTCCACCATTAAGAACTTTCATAACTCTAAAAGATACACCAAGGGTCTGTTAAAATATCATTAGAACACATTGTAAAACCACTTAACAGCAAATATGTCTTCCTCGGCTAATCAGAACCGAAAGAATTGTGCATTCATGTAAAAATTGGTGCTACCTTCACTACTGTGGAAAAGCAACTAATCGATCTTATTTTTTAAAGTATCTCCAAAGTGGGAGGCATTTTTTGTAACTCAAACAGTGGTTACACTCAACTTTGGCAGTCTATGAATTTGTATCTTGCTACTGTGATTATGTATCAGACATTTGTTCTCTTGCATCATCACAAGGAGCTTCTTGCCCTTCTCAAGCCAGAAAGGAAATTCACAGGTTTTATTGAGACGGAGGATCCGGAGCTATTACGAACTCTATTACCAACCGGCTATATTTTTAGGCCAAGATTAAACAAAATTAATACCAAGCCTTTTTGTTAATCCTGAGTATGATCTTGCAAAACACTGCACTGTTTAAATTCTCAAACTTTTACAAATCAACCAGTTTTTTAATTAAAGTGGAATCTTGTTTGGTAGGAAGTGCAAGAATTAAGAAAAATCCAGGGCTACTTTCTAGACCCTGCTGGAAATATCCTAACTCACTTACCCAAGAGGCTTCAGGTTCCTCCTGTGAAAAATGAGACTATGAGCTGTCCGCGGATCTTTCACCTAGCTCTAAAAACTGCCTCTTCCTAAATCCGTCGTTAACTTCAGTAACTTACAATAGTATGGGGGGAAGGGGAGGAGGCAGGATAGGGTCTGGCCACAATTTTGAGGACGTAGAAACGGTTTTGGTCAATAATTTGACGTTAGTGCCATTTCCAGGTAGCACTGTCACGAGGAAGAGGGGGTGGCAGGGAAGCCCGCCTTATTGGTCAAGGGTGACAAACTTTGCTGGAATGACTTGTCGCCTGGCTACTGTCGATCATCCCACCCGATTAAGATGGCTTAACATAAATTAGGCCCCGAGGGCACGCCCGCCCAGGGTGCACCTTGGGGGCGCTGGAAGGCCAGTGGTCACCGGGGTGAATGCGGGGTCGCCCCTGGAAACGGGCCCTCAAAAATCCTCAGAGCCCTAACTCCAAAGAAGCACGCCCCGGACCCAAATACTCTTCCCTTCACTCCGGGTTCTTCCCTACCCTTTCCGAAGTCGCGAACAGAACGCTGAACCCAGTTCATCTGAAGCAGAAGGCGGGGGAGTGGGGGGAGTACTAGCGGCGCGGGCGGCAGCCGCAGAAGAGGTCAGGCATTGGGACCAACCAAAATTTGGTGTTTTATGCCCCAACCCAACCGCAGCGCATCCCGTGAAAAGACCTCTTCAGCCGTCTGGGCGAGAGAAACCGGCTGCCTGAGGAGAGACGTGGGGAGGAGGTGCGAGGTCCTTACCCGC